TATGTGTCCATGTGTGAGATTGTGTGTGTGTGAATCTCTGTGCATGTGTAAGATTGTGTGTGTATGTGTATGTGAATTTCTGTGCATGTGGAAGATTGTGTGTGAATCTGCATGTGTGAGATTGTGTGTGTCAATATGTGTGCATGTGTGAGATTGTGTGTGTGTATGAATCTCTGCATGTGGGAGATTGTGTGTGTGTGAATCTCTGCATGTGTGAGAGTGTATGTGTGTGTGTAAATCTCTGCATGTGTGAGATTATGTGTGAATCTCTGCATGTGTGAGATTGTACGTGAATCTCTGCACATGTGTGAGATTGTGTGTGTGAATCTCTGCATGTGTGAGATTGTGTATGTGTGTGGGTCTCTGTATATGTGTGAGATTGTGTATGTGTGTGTGTGAATCTCTGTACATGTATGAGATTGTGTGTGTGTGTGATTTCCTATGTGCATGTGATTCTGTATGTGTGCATGTGAGTGTCCACGTGCGGGTCTGTGTGTGCGTGGACCCTCTCTCCTTTCCTGGCTCCTGTGTTCCTCCACAGCCGACGTGTCCGTGGCTGACTGCAGGTTTTTCCACCAGGGGCTGGTCGCTCCGCTAGTTGGTGCGTGCCGTTGTGGCTTTATCCCTGCAGGCTTTGCTTTCTCAGGCTCCGTGTCAGCCTGTTCGTGGCTAGGACAGGTCACGGCAGACATAGTGACAGACAGTAATGCCAGATCGTCACCTTGGGGTTCTGGAGAGCAGAGGTCCTGGTGGGCCTGCTGGCTAAGATCAAGGCGTTGCCAGCACTGCTTCCCTGTGGAGGCTCCAGGAACCACCTTCCCTGTGCCTTCTCCAGTTCACAGAGGTGGCTACGCCCCTGCCTCGTGGCCCTTCCTCCCTCTGCAGAGGGAACGGCAGTGAGCAGAGGCCTCAGGGTGCGCCTTCCCGGCCCTCCTCTCCTTTCCCACACTCAAGGACACCGTGTCTACACCGGCCCACGCAGGCTGCAGAGTGGCCTCTCTGCAGGGCACTGCTTGTGGCCTCCGCTCCCTTTGCCATGCAGCACACTGGGGCCTGGCGAGGTGTGGACAGCCGTGCACGGGGGCTCCAGTCCAGCCTGTGTGGCTTGTGGGTCCTGTCCTGCAATGTGCACAAGTGCTGCAGCACACGCCCGCAGTGGTCGGAACTAGCAGAGCACGTGTCCTGAGGCCTCCCTCGGAATCCACACCCTCACGGGTCTGTTTCTGCAGTTACTTGGGACATGCTTGGTTTGGAGCCTAGAGAAGGCCATGGGGACGGTCTTGGCGTGGCCTCACCACGCTCTGACACTAACGCACGCCGCCTCCGTAAGTGGGCCTCACGCTGCTCGGGCAGAGACCTTGGACTCACCTGGGCTCCTCTGACCTGCTCCCCAGCACCCCACCAGAGCACCAGTCCAACTCAGAGCATGTTCTGCAGCCCCAGCCTGGCCCAGGCTGCTCGAGGGCCATAGCAGGACCCTGACATGAGGGCCTGCAAGGGCTGGGCCTGTCTGGAGCTCTGGGTCCTGTCGCTGTCCAGCATGGAACGCGTTTCACCCAGGTCTCTGCAGCCAGAGTGGTCTTGCCTGCTGCGGTCCCCACATCCCTGCATTTCCCGCCCTTCTCCTGCCCTCCCTGGCCTTCGGAGCAGAGTTCTCCCGCACCAGTGGACGTGGGTGTCCGGCCCGCACCTTGGCGTACTCCCAGGCCTGTGTGGATTCTGCACTCTCCTTTCAATACTTCAGGGGCCTCTGATGCGCTTTTGAAGGCTGGCCCCCACGCCCCGCATCTGCGTTGCTGTAAAGCAACTTTATTTTCCGATTCTTGTGACCTGGCGGCTCACTGGTGGTGTCTGCTGGGACACCCTCGGCTCCCTTGACATGCAGCACGGTGACTCTGTGGCCCTGTGACACAGGGACACTGGGTGTGGGACTTTGAGTCAGAGCCCTCTCTGACTCTGTCACCCTGTGCTGGGACGGACGGTGCGGGGCTGGAGCCCTCCCCCACCCCTCCCTCCTCCCTTTCTTTGCTTTTCTTTTGTTTGTTAGAGGGTGCCCGGAGGACTGGGCGTGGTGGCGCCTGCCCTATGGCAGAGGGTGCCCGGAGGGCATGGTCATGCTGCAGCTCCTCCCCACACAGCCGGGGCCCTGGGCACACGTGTGCATGTGGGCTGTCCTTCCATCCCTACCCACGCTGTCGCGTGCACATGCGGTGTGTCTTTCAAGCTACCCCGACTGGGGTTCACACCCAGTAGCTGGCCATGCGGGCTCGGGCTCCTGTGACCACTGGGCGCTGGCGTGGAGTGGGCTGCCTGCCTCACTTGCTGTCTGATGGGTGACAGGCTTGTTGCTTGCTCGGCCTTGGCTTTGGCCTCTATGTACTCCCTTGAAATCTACTCTCCTTCCTTTAGTTTCCAGCCAAAAGGCTCCTGGTAGGGACGTGCCCTGCTGTTTAGGACTCGCAGAGGGTTAGCTGGTCAAACCACGGTGGACTCAGGGTGCCAGGCAGCTCGCGTGCAAGGGTCCCAGCAAACTGGGGCTGCTCGCCCGGAAATCCAAGCTTGAAGTTCTGAGACTGTAGCCATGGGCATGTTCTCCCAGGAGCTACTACGAATGAATGCCTCTTCCGTGTCGCACCCACCAGAGGCTGGATCCACGTTAGTCTGTGCTGAGCTAGAAGCTGCTGCTTGTCCGTGTCCCGCCGTCACGTGCAGTGGTCCTGGTAGCTGCCCGCGTGCATTGTCTCGCCCACTTCGCTGTGTCCATGCACGGCCTGTGCCTCAGAGCCCCACAGCGACGTCAGAGACCCCCTCAGTGGAGGGAGGTGGCTCTAGGTTCAGGGCACAAGTCTGTTTTCACAGGTAACACGGTTTTGGCGTGGAAAGATTGCTGTCCTTTAATGTCGATAGAGGTGCATGCACCCACATGCACACACCGCCACCAGGGGTCAGCGTGTGACCAGCCACGGATCCTCGAAGTGGTAGAAGCTGCCCCAGCACAGACGTGGGGACCAGCCAGTCCCTCTCTCCTTTTACAGACCGTCTCGCTTCTGTGGGGACAGTGAGGGGCTGGGGCACGGAAGAGCTTCTGTGTGGCCGCTGTGGCCCTTGGGCCCCTGTAGGGTGGAGAGGTTCTCAGTGGGCAGAGCACGCATGGCCCTGGTTCTGCACACACGTCTGCTCTCCAGGCAGACCGTGGCTGCCCCTGCCCTTGGGAAAGCCCCTCCCAGACATATGGTGTGGAATTGAAGGAGCCCCTCCCTGCCTGGAGGGTGGTACTCAGGTGGCCCCTTTCCCATTCGCATCCCCATCCCTGCAGCTCTGTTTTATTTTATTTTTTCTTTTAAGAGGTTTGTGCTATAGGGCGCATGCGCTCACCAGAAAGACAGAGACAAAGAGACAGAAAGCGAGAAATCACCCCCCAGAGGGGATGACCACGCCGCAGTCCCTTCCCCATTCTCCTCTTGGGATCTTGGGCACGCATGCACACGCTTCTGGCGTGAGTTTAAGCCACCAGGTCCAGGGCTCGAACTGCAGTCAGCTACATGGGAGTTCAGCAACGTAGCCATTATGCCAGCTGCTGGTCCCTCCCTGTGGCTCTTCATGACTTTGCATGGGAACACCCACCCCAGGGCTGTGGCCCGGATGGCAGCTCATCTTGCCACAGCGAAAGATACTGCTGTGTGCATGTCCGTGTGCACAACTGTATACGCAGCCATGTGTGCATCTGTGTGTGTGTCCGTGTGTGCGTCCATATTTGTAGCTGTGTGCGCAGCTGTGTGCGTGTCTATGTGCACGTCCATGTGTGTGTCTCTGTACACAGCTGTGTGCCCCAGCCATGTGCATGTCAGTGTGCACATCCCTGTGCACGGCTGTGTGCACAGCCATGTACGGGTTTATGTGTGCAGCTATGTGTGTGTCCCTGTATGCAGCTGTGTATGCAGCCAGGTGTGCATCCATGTGCCCTGTACGCATCCATTGTGTGTCTGTTTGCAGTCGTGTGCGCATCTTTGTACACAGTCATGTGTGCATTCGTGTGTGTGTCTCTGCACCATCCGCATGCGCATCTGTGTGCACATCCCTGTACACAGCTGTGTGTGCAGCCATGTATGCATCCATGTGCACAGACTTGTGTGTCCTCGTATGCAGCCATGTACGCAGCCACGTGTGCATCCGTGTGCCCTGTATGCATCCATTGTGCACCTGTATGTAGTCGTGTGTGCATCCCTTCACGTGGTCATGTGCACATTGGTGTACATGTCTGTGTGCGTGTCCCTGCACACATCCGTGTGCGCATCCGTGTGCACATCCCAGTACACAGCTGTGAGCGCAGCCATGTACACGTCCATGTGTGCAGCCATGTGCGTGTCCTCGTATGCAGCTGCGTATGCTACCAGGTGTGCATCTGTGTGCCCTGTACGCATCCAATGTGTGCCTGTATGCAGTCGTGTGCATCCCTGCAGTCATGTGTGCGCTCGTGTGCATATCCGTGTCCCTGCACACATCCATGTGTCCATCCATGTGCCCATCCGTCCATCTGTGCAGCCACGTGCACGTCTGTGTACGCACCCCTGTACACAGTCCTGTGCGTATCCATGTGTGCAGCTGTGTGTATGTCCTTGTATTCGTCCATGTGCACAGCCGTGTGTACTTCCATGTGCGCATCCATGTATGCAGTTATGTGGCAGCCGTGTGTGCACCCATGTGGACTGTGCATGCATGTGGTCCCATGTTCTGGACGGTCAGGTCGGGGCAGTGAAGCCAGGGTGTGGTTTGGATGCCACACTTCCACCAAGAGCCAGAGGGTGGGGCTTAGCAGACCAGGACAGGACGGAGGTCACCCCATCTCTGTGGAACACTGTGGAACATGGCTGAGTGAGCCAAGGACACCATGGGCAGGGTGAGGGCGAGCACGAGGGTGTGGCCAGGCCCAGGGCGTGTGGCCGGCAGCGGGTGCTGGCAGGGCCGTCGGTCTCGGCAGTCCTGGGAGGCGGTGCTGTGGGCAGCTGTCAGCTGGCAGTGGTGACCAGCACCACAGCGTGAGGGCCGGCGGGCCTGGCAAGGGCCCCTGCTGTGGTTGAGGACAGCACGGTGGGGTGGCTGAGGACCGTGCCCGTTGGGAGAGCACTGGCCTCCTACCTAGCAGGCAGCCTGGTGAGTCCTCGGGCACTTGGGAAGGACTGCGACGTGTACACAGGAGGTCACAGGACGGGGAGGCCGGGCAGAGGGGGGCATGTGATGGGGAGGCCGGGCAGAGCGGGGCACGGGTTGGAGAGGCTGGGCAGAGTGGGGCACGGAATGGGGAGGCCGGGCAGAGTGGGGCACGGGACGGGGAGGGGCAGCTGCACGCAGTCCTGGGAATCCAAGCAAGGTCGGGAAGGGGCAGTCATGGCGCTGGGTCTGGGTCTGTTTTTTTTTAGCGTCGTGGAGGGGACCTCCGCTCTCGCAACTCCTGCCCACTGTCGGGCTGCGGAGTGTGTGGATGTGGGCGGACGGGCAGCTGCGCGGGCCTGCAGCCCTCTGACTCGTGCTGTGTTTTCAGAGTGAAGATGGACGAGCCCCAGGGCATGTCCCCAATCAGGGGCTGCTGCGGCAGGGACGTCGTGGTGGAGAGATGCCTGGTGGAGTCCAGGGAGTCCGCGGCACAGGTCCAGCTGGCCTGCAGCCCACGACACTGCGCCTTCCCTCTGGACGGAGACTCACTGTGTGTGTGGGGCCCTGCGGGTGCGGCCCAGGTGGGCACGAGCTCCGAGATCCCTGGCCCAGCGTCCTGGCCTCGCCCGACCATTTCCCCAGAGCTGGTGGCCGTGCTCACTACCAGGTCTGGGGGAGGTGGCCATGAAACCATAGCAGTATGTTAGGTTTTAGTTTTGGAAAAATAAACTGGAATCACTTAAAAAAACAAATCCTTTGGGAACCAGCAGTTAGCGTAATGGCTCTGTCGCTGGACTCCCACGTAGTCGACCGTGGTTCGCGTCCTGGACCCGGTGGCTTAAACTCACGCCGGGCGCGTGTGCGTGTGTGCCCAAGATCCCAAGAGGAGAATGGAGGAGAAGGGATTGCGGCGTGACCATCCCCCTGGGGGGTGATTTCTTGTTTTCTGTCTCTCTGTCTCTCTCTGTCTGTCTGGCGAGCGCACGCGCCCTATAGCAAAAACCTCTCCAAAAACAAACAAACAAACAAAAAAACAAAAACAAAAACAAACCAAATCCTTTGAAGAACATGAGCAAGAAAAGGTTTCTCTTAGCACCGTCAAGACCCGTGTGTTCTGATCTCGAGTTTGACCCCTCACTTTGTCAGCCAGGTATGGGACATGCGGGCAGGGCAGCCGCTGCCGCGGGTGGCACCCTCTCTATTGGTTCCCGTGTTCCCCATGGTGTTTGCGAGACCCTGCTGAGTCATCCTGTGTCCCCATGTCCTTTTGGTGCGGTCCTCCGGTCCTAAAGCAGCGCCTCCCCATTCTCTGTGGGTGCTGGCTGTGTGTCCATTCTGGGCTGCCAAGCCATCCTCTGGGGTCTCGGTGCACGCAGTCCTTGAGCGCCCTCGCACGTGCTCAGCGGGTGGCCCAGTGTGGCCGCTGCGTCCCAGCGCCAGCCAAGGCCCTCCTGACCCCTGTCCCTCCTGGTGGTGCGGCCACAGCAGGAGCAGCCTCTGCATCTTCCTCTTGGCTGGAGGGGCTCTTCTCATTCTGCAGACATGAACTTCCTGTCCCTGGAGATGGGCCGTCCATGTTGGTCCAGGTCGGCGTGTGCCAGCGTCGGCTCTTCCTGTTCTGAGTGGTGCCCTGCTGGGTGGGCTGTGCTCTCGTGTGCCGTGTGTGGACTCGGGCCATGTCCAGCGAGGACGGTCCCGAATGAGTGCCGTGCTGTGTCTGTGTTCTGTTCCGTTTGCCAAAGGGGATGTGCTCACCAGAGACTGCGAGAGGGACGTGGTGAGAACGCAGCCCGGGGTGGACACCTGCAGGCCCTTCTCCAGTTCTCACCCCTCTGGGGTTTTGGGCAGTCACGCACCGGCCTGGCGGTGTTCCCCAAGCTGCTGCGACAGACTGCAGCAGCCCTGTGGGCCACGTGGGTTGGCCGGGCCTGGCCCGCTCGTGCTCTCGGTGCCGGCCAGCGAGCTGGTTCTGCCAGTGCTCCAGTCCTGACACGGCGCCAGTGGGCCGGCAGCCGTGGAGGAGGCGTGACCTCCTGTGCTCCGCTGCCACCCTGCGCTCCGCGTGTTTGCAGCTTCCATTCAGCTCATCCACGTGCCGTGGCTGACGCCTCCTGGGCTCGGCCCTGGATCGCCCCGCGCTCCTCATCTGAGATCTCCCCCGGCTTCTTTCCGTCTTGGTGGACGTCAGCACGGCGCCCATTGTCTCCACGCTCAAGCTTCCTGTCGTGGCCGTCATGCGTGTTGCCTGCGTGGCACCCTCACAGTGCAGCGCTGCTTGTCATAGACAGTCGTCTTGACACGCAGGAGAGACCTGTGCCCTCCGCCGTGCGGCTCCGTGCGCCCCACCCGAGATGGTCACTCCCAGTGCTGTTGTGTTGTGTGGTTTTGAACAGTGTTCTTCTGCGTAGAGAATGCTGGACTCCGATTTCTCTGCACCCCTGACGGTGCTCCACGGTTTTCCTGCGAGCGGCGCCGTGGCTTTGCACCGCTCAGCTGGGCGGGCCCCTCTCCTCCGCTGGTCTGCGGCTTCCCGTTGGGCGCTCTGAGCAGTCTGGTCAAGACACCTGTGGTACATTTTTCTTCCTAGGCCTTGTTCTTGGGACTCAGTGCTTAGGAGCTCTCATCGCATTTAGATTGTTTCTTTAGTGTCTTCGCCCTCCTTCCATCGGGCTGCCTGTGTGTCAGCAGGCCACCTGCCCCTCCCACCATGCAGGAAGCCCTGCTTCCAGTTACGCTGCCTCTCTGCTGCGGTGTGCACTCGCCTCTGCTCTGCTCTGCTCTGCTCTGCTCTCCTCCCCTCCCCTCCCCTCCCCTCTCCTCTCCTCTCCTCTCCTCTGCTCTCCTCTGCTCTCCTCTCCTCTTCTCTCCTCTCCTCTCCTCTGCTTTCCTCTACCCTCCTCTCCTCTCCCTCTGCTCTCCTCTGCTCTCCTCCCCTCCCCTCCCCTCTCATCTCCTCTGCTCTCCTCTTCCCTCCTCTCCTCTCCTCTGCTTTCCTCGCCTCTTCTCTCCTCTCCTCTCCTCTGCTCTGCTCTCCTCTGCTCTCCTCTTCTCTGCTCTCCTCTGCTCTCCTCTGCTCTCCTCTCCTCTCCTCTGCTCTGCTCTCCTCTCCTCTCCTCTCCTCTCCTCTGCTCTGCTTTCCTCTCCTCTCCTCTCCTCTCCTCTCCTCTCCTCTCCTCTCCTCTCCTCTCCTCTCCTCTCCTCCGTTCTCCTCTCCTCTGTTCTCCTCTCCTGTCCTCTCCTCTCCTCTCCTTCCTCTCCTCCCCCTGCCCTCCCCTCTCCCGTCCTGTTTCTCTCCCCTCCCCTCCCCTCCCCTCTCTTTTCTCCTCTCTTCTCTCCTCTTCTCTGTCTTCCCATCTCTCTTGCCTCCCTCTCCCCTCCTCTCCATCTCCCCTCCCCTCTCCTCTCTTACCCTCCCAGACTCCCCTCCCGTGCCCTCCCCTACCCTCCTGTCCCCTCTGTTTTTAATTCACGAGCGGGCACATGTGCTCTCTGGAGAGAGACAGAGAGACATGCCCTCCAGGGGCACGGCCTGCTGCTGTCCCTCTTCTCCATCTCTCCTCTGGGGATTTGGGCACGCGTGTCCATGTGCCCGATGTGTCTCTCAAGCCACCAGGTCTAGGTGGGACCGGCCTCCTCCGCCAGCTCGGCACGGCTGCCCCACCCTGTGCAGGTCTGTGTGCACCTTCGAGCCCGCCAACCTTCCCACCCATCAAGGCAGAGCGCACTCCGCGCCGTGCCCTGCTTCCCTGCACTCCGGCTTCCCGGTTACTGCTGAACTGTTCCTGTCCGTGGTTCCGACCCCTGGGCGGCTCTGGGTGGCCTGTAGGCGCTTTCTGTGGTTCTTATCGCTCCTGGTTTCTGGCCGATGGCCTTTTCTCCTCGATCACCTGGTGGTCTCCGACCGATCCCTGGACACCGCGTGTGAGTAAAACGTGGAGCTGCGGTGAGACCCTGCGTGGTGTCTCCCCAGACCGCCGGCCACTCTGAGGGCTCAGGTGGTCCCGCCCAGCTGCCCTACTGCGGAACAGTGGTGACCGCAGCGGACCCAAGCTTGAGCGGCCCTGGCCCAGCGTGCTCTGCTCCCTCCCGGCCCTTCCCGGCTCCCTTTCTGACCCTGAGCCTGGCAGCCGGCTCCCTCTCGCCGAGGCCGAGCAGCCGGGGCTCTCAGAGAGACTTGTTAAGACTGGCCATTTCCCCAGCAGAGTCCTCCATGTGAGCCCTTGGCCCTTGGGGTCCTGGGTGAGGTGACCAAGGGCTTGGCCCTGTACCCCTCTGTCCACGCCTGAAAGGACGTGGGGCCTGCCAGACTCTGAGCCCTACGAGCACCACAGCTTCTTGCTGCTGAGGCTCAGCTGCCGGAGGGTCGCCTCCGTGGGACAAGTGGCCCGAGACCCCGGTGCCAGGGCCCAGGACCCCTCCACCCCGGCCCCCTCTGAGCCTTCAGAATGATGCTTTGTCCTTTCATCCCATGTCTCCGTTGTCCCCATCAGGGCTGGTGTGGACGGCCCCCAGTCCTCTCTGGCCCTCGTAGCACGCCGCCCAGCACCTCCACTGTCCATGGGCGATGGCCCCACCTCTGGGCCGTCTGTTCCCCTCCCTCTGCCTCAGCCGTGGAGTCTCTGCTTCTCCGCCTCCTCTCCGTGTCCACGCTGCGACCTTACTTCCGGCCTCCCCTGCCCCTCCCCTGAACAGTGTCCTCTGTGCTGGTCGCCAGCCCCCGAGTGGCCGTAGGGGGTCTCTACCCCACACATTGGAGTCGTGTTCTTGGAAACCTTGCGTTCCTGCGCTCATGCCCTGGCTCCAGCTCCCGCTCCGGTCCCAGACCCCGGCAGGGCCCCTGCCTCCCTTCTGGCCCGTAGGATTTGTCTTGCCGCGTCCCTCCAGTGGCCGCTCGCTGGCCCTGTGCGTGCCCTCGTTGCCCAGCCTCAACTTGGGGGCCCCTTCGGCTGCTGTTCTTGGTGGGCAGGGGACCTGGGTCAGCAGCCAGGGGAGCTGACAGTGGCACGACAGGTCGGACGTGCGGGGATGCCGCTGCGAGCGTGCCGTCAGAGTGGGCGAGGGTGGTCAGCTGGAGTGTGTCGACCTGCTTCACTTGGAGGTCTGCGGTTGGGTCTTTAGGCGCTTGGGTTTTCTGGTGTGACCGGCCCTCCATGGTGTCCCTGTTGATGTCCCCAGCTTCTCACCCTGCGAGGACACCACCACCCCGTCACTGCGGTGGCCATGGGAAATAGAGCGGCCCCACTGCTCCTGTGCTCCGCGTCCTGGGGCTGCACTCTGCTCTGGGACCTGGGCGAGTGTAGGCGGACAGCCCTCCAAGGTAGGCCGGGTGGGGCACTCAGCCGTGTCTAAGCGCCTGGTGTGTGAGGGCGCCTGTGGCCACGTTCTGTGTGATTTTCCTGTGCTATGGGGCACGCATGCTCACTGGGGGGTGGGGTGAGGGAGAGGGAGAACCCCCAGGGTGGTGGGCACGCTGCAGTCCCCTCCCTCCATTCTCCTCTTGGGCCTGTTTTCGGCTGGAGGACCTGAACTCACAGTCAGCCTGTGAGACCCAGTGCCTTAAACACCACGGCACCTTCTGGTCCTGAGATCCATTCTCACTCCTTGGGAAACAGGCATTGGCACCAGATGCCCTGGGGTAGGACCCAGGCCCTGGGCTCCGACCTCGGCACATGTCCCAGGAATACTATAAGCTCGTGAGATTTGATCTTCTGGAATTGGCTCTCTGAGAAACTGTGACTCTCGTGGAACCCTGACAGCGCTTAGGTGGACTGAAACAGCCTCCCCTCGCAGCTAGTCTCAGGCACCTGCCAGACTTCAGGCTGGGCTCACGGGGCGGGAGAAGGTGCGAGTGGGCCAGGAAGTCAGCAGGGAGGGGCCGAGAGCATGGGACGGAGGTGCCCCGTGGTGCCCTCTCCCAGGAGGGGACACGCACCTGAAGGGGAGATGGTGCTGGCTGGCAGGGTGGCGGGGGTGCAGCTGGAGGCAGAAGGGTCTGTTGGCAGAGGTGCTGGGTGTGAGCTCTGGGGCCTCTGGACACTGTGCATGTGCTGCAGGTCGAGTGTGGGGTGCCCAAGGAGCTCTGCCGCGTGCAGTGGAGAGTCGGCGGGCACAGCAAGGGGCTGGAGCTTCAGGCAGTCGGATTCAGATTCGGATTCAGGCAGCAGGGGCCTGAGCAGAGACCTTGCGGGGCTGGCAGGAGGCAGCAGTTGCCGCCCTCATCCCTGCCGCCCTTGTCCCTGCTGCCCTCATCCCCGCCGCCTCTGGTCTCTGCTGCCCTCGTCCCCAACGCCCTTGTCCCCGCCACCCCTCGTCCCTGCTGTGTGGACCTTGAGGGCCTAGACAGTGGGGTATCTCTGCCCACGGCCACAGCAGTGGGTGCTGGAGTGGAGACGGAAGCCACAGGCCATCCGGGCTGGCCACACCCACACACTGCTGCCCCCCAGAACCTGCAGCTGACCTGGAAATGTCCCGTGGGCTCCAAGCCCAGAGGCTGAGGCTCGGACAGGAGCTGGCCCCCTCTGCCTATCCAGCACTGGCCCGCGGGTGGCCGGCGGAGCAGTGGTCCCCGGTGCCCCCGGTGGGTCTGCAGCTGCAGCAGTTGTCTGTGACGCTGTCGGAAACCTGCCATGGTCTCAGGGCTGCCTGCCTCCCACACTTTGGGCGTCCTCAGAACCGTCACCGCACAGCTGCAGCTCTGCCTGTCGGTGCAGATGAGCACCGTGGGCCAGGCTGGGCCCCCATGGCTGATTGCACAGTTTAAGTCCTGGACCTGGAGGCCTGAAAACACACTGAGTGTGTGTGCGTCCCCAGATCCCGAGAGTGGAAGAGAAGGGCGTGTCGTGGCTGTCCTCCTCGGGGCGACCTCTCACTTTCCCCATGCTCTGCCTTCGGCGAGTGCACATGTCCTACAGCAGATTTCAAAAGCAGCAGAAGAGAGCTGCAGTGGACGCCGGCTTGTGGTGTTACTGTGACACGGGCGCCTGCAGCTCGCTCTAGGGCTGACCCCTCGAGGGACTGCCATGGGCGGAGCGTGCCGAGCTGACATGGGCGCCTGCAACCCGCTCTAGGGCTGACCCCTCGAGGGACTGCCATGGGGCCCCCTTTGGGGAAGGTGCTGTATCTCCGGTTCAGTCCAGATGACCACGTGGTAGCAGCGTGTGCTGGAAACAAGGTCTTCGTGCTAGAGACCCAGGTAAGATGGCTGCAGCACGGGAAGCGTCGTGGCCCGGGTGCTGACCGGCCCTCGGGGCTGAGGCTCGTCTGCTCTCAAATGACGTGCTTGCCCTCCTTTCTTGAAAGCAGTGCTTTAAACTTGGAGTATTTATAAAGCTGTTAGGGAAAGTAAGTGGAAACATGTCTCCATCTGGCCATTGGAAAGCCCCTGGGATCAGACACCGCCGCCAACTCAGGAACACGCCGTGTGGGAGCTGGGCTGGTGGCTCAGGAGAGCACCATGCAGGCTCTCCAACCCACGCAGTGCCGTGTCCGTCCTTCGTCACGGCACGCACCCACGGAGAGCCGGTTCTTCCCGCTTTCTGCGTGCTGTCCCCAGTGCCTGGCCCTTAGGTCTCACGTCCGCCTGGGCCCGATGCCAAGGGCTGGGGCAGTTTAAGGAGGGCTCTTGCCTGGGTGCCCGCTCTGCTCGGGACGCTGCACGGGTCACCCAAGCCTGTCTCCGGCTGCAGGGGCACGGGTCGGCAGCCGTTGCCGCAGCGAGCCTTGCTGTGGAGACACTCTCCGCAGCTGAGGCCAGGAGCCCTGGGAGGTGCAGACTGCAAGGGCTATCACGGGCCTCGTGTGGGCAGGCTTGGGGACACGAAGAGGACATTCCTCCTTCAAACTGTTTTCCCTCCTTGTGAAAGTGAGGCTCATGCTGGAGAGCTGGAGCACAGGCGGGGCGGTGCGGGGCAGTCGGGGCTGGGCCCCACGTGCTGAGAACAGTGTGAGTGCACCCATCCACGCTGGCCACCCGCCCCGTCACATGCAGCAAAACTACCCATTAAAGGGAAAGGGGAGAGAGGAGGAGAGGGGGAGAGTGGTGGGGGGACGGGGAGGGGGAGAGGTGGAGGGAGGGTGGGGAGAGGGAGAGAGAGGAGGGGGAGAAGGGGGAGGAAGAGGAGGAGAGAGGGAGAGGGGAGAGGGAGAGAGCGGGAGAGGGAGGGGGGAGAGGAGGGAGGAGAAAGGGGGAAGAAGAGGAGGGAGGGGGAAGGGGGAGGAAGAGGAGGAGAGAGGGAGAGGGGAGAGGGGGAGAGAGAGGGGGAGAGGGAGGGAGGAGGAAGGGGGAAGAAGAGGAGGGAGGGGGAAGGGGGAGGAAGAGGAGGAGAGAGGGAGAGGGGAGAGGGGGAGAGAGAGGGGGAGAGGGAGGGAGGAGGAAGGGGGAAGAAGAGGAGGGAGGGGGAAGGGGGAAGAAGAGGAGGAGAGAGGGAGAGGGGAGAAGGAGAGAGGGGAGAGGGAGAGAGGAGAGGGGAAGGGGGAGGAGAGGGGAGGAGAGGGGAGGGGAGGGGAGAGACAGGCCTCAGGGCTGTGCTGGCTGCTCAGGGCTGGCTGGTGCCCTGGAGGCTAGGCTGCGTGATCCCCTGGGCTAGCGCAGGCCAGTCCTGGCTCTGCAGCGAGCAATGCCGTGGAGGTGGAGGTGAGGGGCGGGGAGAGGCTAGGCTGCGTGATCCCCTGGGCTAGCGCGGGCCAGTCTTGGCTCTGTAGCGTGTAATGCCGTGGCCACCGCTTGCTGTCCGTGTGGCAGGCTCCTGGACGGGACGCGCACACACACAGCGGACGACCCTCGGGAGGAGAGCACTGGGCGGAGGGAGCGGGTGGCTGGGTGCTGTCCCCTCGTGCCCGTGTGACCCCCGCTGGTGGCAGTCCCTGAGCACTGGGTCACTCGCCTCCTTCGTGTCTGTGCAGTGCCAGGCGGCGCCTGTGGAGCTGGAGGGGCACCTGGGCGCCGTGACTGCCGCCGAGTTCTGTCCTTGGCGGGCAAACGTCGCCATCTCGGTGTCTGAAGACAGAAGCTTTAAGGTACGGGGTGGGCTGTGGCTGCCTCCTCCGTGACCCCAGGCCCATCGTCAGGCCCATGCTCTCCCTAATCAGGCCGGGTGAGGGCAGCGTGCCAGCCGAGTGGGACACGGTCCCAGACCAGACCACACCTGGGTGTGGGCGCAGCATGTGGTCCATGGCCACGGCCGCAAGTGGCCCTTTATCTCTACTGCACTTCTGTACGGGCCTGTGGTCCTAAACTCTGAGACCAAACGGGGTCTCGAAGTTCGGTGGGACTCGGCGACTGGGCCCAGGTCCTGACACGCTCCTCGGCCCCACGTCCCTGCCCTGGCTGACTCCTTGCTCGAGGACTGAGAAAAGTCACAGCATGCGGTTTCCGGGGTCAGAGGACAGGTCGGAGCTCGGCGGGGCCTGGGAGAAAACCCAGCCCCGGGGGAAGGGGTCGAGTGCGGCCGTTACTGAGGTCCCAGCTGCTGTCCCTGTGCCAGAGGAGGGAGGCTGGTGCCCCACAGGCCTGGTGGCTGGCTCGAGTCCCGGCCCTGCCCCTCGCTGCGGTGGTCGGTCAGAGCCCGGGCCGTGCCCCACACCTCCCATCTGAGAAGTGGACACAGAGCGAGGACGGTGCTTCGAACCCAGCCGCCGCTGGGGGCATGTCAGAGAGCACGCTTTAGACAGACCCAGCTCAGCGGGTCCTTGGGGCAAGGAGCGGGCCCGTCGGCCTCCCGGGCTGCTTCTGAGGAGCTCCGAGCCGCCGGGGCCGTCCACCCCCGTGCCGCCAGGCAAGTGCCCGACAGGAGCCGGGAGGGCGAGGTCGCCAGGCAGCAGGCCAGGGCAGCTCGGCATCCCCGTAAGACTTGGCTGAGGCCAGGTGCGGCCGCTGACCCAGCCTCGTTGACCCAGCCTTATGCCCAGGACACTCTCGGAGCTGCTCGCTGTGGCCTTTCCCAGGGCCCGGGTGCAGGGTGGTGCCTCAGGCCGGTCTGGCTAGATGGGGGTCTCACACAGGTGAGGGCCTCACGCCAGGGCATGGCTCCCGCCGGCGCGTGCCTGGCGGGGCTGCTCAGGGCCACATGAGCTCCGGCTGTGCACACCGTCGCGGTTTGTTCTGGAGGCCTGCGGGCTCTTCCCTGCCTGTGTGCTTCCCACGGCACTCATCGGTTTGATCCCTTACACGTGTACTTTGTCATTCTCCCTTAGACTGGATTGCTTACCTGTGATTGTAAGAGTCACGTAGCGATAATGGCAATGTCTACCTCTCCCGCAGGTCTGGGACCACCGGCTGGGGTCGTTGCTGTACAGCTCCTCCGTGCTGACGGGTAAGTCGCACCTCCCCACCCACGAACACCGTGTGGCTGGGCTCTCGTCGCGTGCTACTGCAGGACGGGGCGCGGCACACCCGTCGGCCTGCACTGCCCTGGTGTCAGAGGACGCAGTCGGCTCATGGCTTTGATGCCATCGCTTAGCCACGTGCTGGCATCTGAGCCTCCTGTGCTGAACGTGAAAGCGCTAGACCACTGCGGGCCACGGGCCAGGCCTCTGCCAGACACATGCTAGACCACTGCGGGCCACAGGACACGCCTCTGCCGGGCACACGGTATAACTGCGGGCCACGGGCCAGGCCTCTGCCAGACACATGCTAGACCACTGCGGGCCACGGGCCAGGCCTCTGCCAGACACACGCTAGACCACTACGGGCCACGGGCCAGGACTCTGCCAGACACATGCTAGACCACTGCGGGCCACGGGCCAGGCCTCTGCCAGACACACGCTAGACCACTACGGGCCACGGGCCAGGACTCTGCCAGACACATGCTAGACCACTGCGGGCCACGGGCCAGGCCTCTGCCGGACACACGCTAGACCACTGCGGGCCATGGGCCAGAGTTCTGCCGGACACACGCTAGACCACTACGGGCCACGGGCCAGGCCTCTGCCAGACACATGCTAGACTACTGCGGGCCATGGGCCAGAGCTCTGCCGGACACGGAGCAGACCGCTGCGGGCCACAGGCTTGGCCTCTGCCGGGCATGGGGTAGCACGTTCCTCACCGGCTGGGCGTTGGTGCCTCTTCAGCAGGCGAGCTCTGTGGACGCTGTGTCCTTCCCGCAGGCCTTGTGCTCGGTAGCACCGGGAACCAGCATTCAGTCACAGGGACGAGGGCAGGGTGCTGGGGATGTAGGAGGCCCTGGGGCAGACCTCTGAGTCCTGAGAGGGCCTCTGCAGAGGCCTGGATGGTCTAGCCTGCGGGTGCTGCTAGCATTTGTGCTGCAGTCTTCGGGCAGATGCTCCCTTTGGCTGGGAGGAGAGTTGGTGGACATTGGTAAGACAACGCTTGACAAGTGGATGAGTAACTCGGAAGTTCTCTGAGAGTGCACCGTGCCTCGGTCACTTAGGGTCGCTTCGTGTTTCCAGAGTCAGTACTCTTTCTGAGGTTCGCGTACCCACGCGGAGAGTGGTATTTTGACAACTTGGATACATCTACCAATCTCAGCAATAAGGCACTTCTCTCGGAAGTGTGTCAGTTACTGGGCTCTTAGAAAAGTCATGACACATTTTTGCATAGAAAAACAAAAATGTCATGACTTTTCTAACGACCGAATATTTTCCTAGAATGAATTTTGGGGAATTATTATTGGGTTGCCAAGAAAATAATTACAAACTCGTTCTTTGATGACAGTGTAGCTCGCTTCGGACATACAGTGTTTAGTGAGGCTTTACTTGATTTTATTTGCCAGAGGGTGTGTGTGCTCACCAGAGAGAGAAAGAGAGAGAGAGAGAGAGAGAGAGAGAGAGAGAGAGAGAGTGGAAGGGCGGGCCCCTGGGGCACAGCCACGTGGCACCCTCCACGCCCTCCGTTTCGGGCTTTGGGTGCATGTGCCCACAGGCCTGGCCTGCTTCTTCAGGAGCTGGGTCTGGGCCTCCAGCCACACCGTTGGTCATGTGAGGTCCCGCATGTTACCCACCATGCCCCGACTGGCCCCAAATAGTGTTTTAAATACCTGTTTATTGAATTCTCTTTCCCAGTTTAGAGTAAATTAAGCAACGTCCTAGGCAACACTTTTTCTTTTAAGTTATGTGTATTTTTCTCTCACGACAGTGAGAGATAGACAGACAAGCACCCTCCACAGGGCTCACAGCCTGATCCACCCTGGCCTCCCCGCCCTCGTGTGCACAGCCGTCAGAGGACCGAGTCTGACCTTCCACGGGCTGCAGGCCTTGCAGTCCTGCCGCGCCCCGGCCGGCCACTGGGCAGTAGAACCCGCAGACGACGGGCGCTGAACTGCCATCTCACCACCAGTCGTGATGCCACCCTTTCCGTCTCGGGGTGCCCTGGTGGGGTCTGCCCACTGGCCTCCCTGCAGGGTCAGAGACTGGCGCTGAGGTTTCATGCGCCCGGCCCTCTCTGGGCAGGGGGTGCCCTGGTGGGGTCTGCCCACTGGCCTCCCTGCAGGGTCAGAGACTGGTGCTGAGGTTTCATGCACCCGGCCCTCTCTGGGCAGGCGGATGCGCTCGGTCGGGACCTTCCAGGGGCAGACGTTAGCTGACAGCCACGGAGGCTTTCTCCTGGGCGACGGGCCTCCTCCCCCGCCGGGCTTTCAGAACCCGGGCGTGCTTACAGTCTGTACTGCTGAGTGAGAGCTATACTTCCGAGTTGCTCAGAGCAGACCACGTGGCTACCAGCACGACACTGGCCATGCTCCGCCCCACGGTGGCCGTGAACTAACCCCTCTGTTCATACTGACAGCGCATCCTCTCCTCAGCCTGCTCGTCGATGAGGACAGCAAGCAGCTGGTCACGGGGTGTGCCGATGGCCAGGTGAGTGGCCCACATGCAGCTGTCCCCATGCCCTGTGCCCCGTGCCCCGCGTGTGTGTGCGGTCTGAAGACGCCGTGCTCTGGGGGTGCAGCCTGGCCGTTGGCTGTCTTGGTCTGAGGACGCCGTGCTCTGGGGGTGCAGCCTGGCTGTTGGCTGTCTTGGTGTCCCTGGGGGCTGGAGCAGGCCCTGGGTCCCTATCTGCAAAGAGCTGTGTGTGGGGATCTGGGCGGGCGGTGCAGCCAGCCAGTAGCTGAGAGCCACTCACGAGGCTGTTAGTGTCTGTGTGTTATCCATTTTCCAAAACGTGAATAAACTTAATCCTTCCAGAAGGTTTTTCCAGTGAGCATTTTCAGTTTGCTTCACAAAGCCTGTTAGAAGCAAAGATAATTCTTCCTTGTGCAAAGTTGACTATTGTCGCCCCATACCTGGTCACCGGGCAACGTGGCAGATGTGCTCATGGCTCTGGAACTGTCGTGCCATGTCTGGAAGAGCCTGGCATGGCCCCTGGAGACCTGTGGGCCGGGCAGTGTAGGAGCCCCGAGTCATGTAAGCCATCCGCCTTCGGGCAGCCTCCTCCTTTGCTGGGGGTGGCCACGCTGACAGTCCTGTCCCCGCCAGTCTCCTCTCAGGCTTTTTGGGCACGCATACATGCTGGCATACTCTCCAGGCCACCAGGTCCGGGGCTTGAAGGGCAGAGTTGGCCCTGTGGGGTCTAGCACCCCAACTGCCGCGCAGCCTGCGTGCCTGCTCAGCACCTCACATGACACTTGTGCTCTGAGGGTGTGCCCTGGGCCTTCAGGACAGGTGCCGAGTGGGAGGGCCGTGTCCGTGAAGGGACTGCTCCCTGCTCGGGCGCGCTGGCTTCCCTGACTGCTCGGGGACGGGTCATGGCCGTCCCGGGAGCTCCTCACTGTGGAGTCCGGCCTCAGTGGTGGTGAGTGGACGTGCGAGCCCAGCACACAGTTGGTCTGTGCTGTGCTGTGGGTGTCACAGGAAACTCCCTCGTGGTGTCGCGGGCGAGACTGGTGTGACGTGTCATTAGGGTGGGCCTCCATGGCGGTGGTGAGGCTGTCACGTGCTGCCATGGGCCCCTGGCACGGCCGTGACGGTGTCGTGCTCCCGCTGCCGCGTGGGACAGGCTGGCTCCTCGGCCACCTGATCGTGCTCTGCATTCACAGCTCTGGGTCTTCAGCCTGGCTGACGGGCACCACGGCCGCTGCGTGGCACGCGTCGACCTGAGGAAGAAGGGCGAGAGCTTCTCTGCCAGGAGGGCAAGGGCCGGGCACTGTGGGCTCCCAGGTACGCTGCCCAGAGCCCTGGCCGCCGCCCCGCCCCGGCTCCGGTCAGAGTCCCCTGCTGGACGGAGTGGGCGCTGGGGCACTTCCCTGCGAGGGAGCTGCGGGGCTCACGATCCAGCCCGAGCCCTGGATGTCACGCGGGAGTGAGTGGACTCGCCACAGGATGCACGTCTGTGTGAGTGTGAGTGCGGGTGTGCGCGGCAGCACAGAGAGGGACGGACCTGCCTGCCAGCCCTGCCCAGCTGCCTGGCTGCCGGCCTGATGAAGCGTAGGGGCAGGCAGAGACTGCTCGGCCCCCACGAGGGTCATCGGAGAGGCCCACGAAACTGCCTCCACAGCCTCCCCTGCCCCTCACTCGGCCTCCCCGGCCGGCCTCTCGGGCCACACCCAGTCCCGCCTGTCTCCATCTTAAGCGCAGCACAGAGGGAGCCAGCACCCTGCTCGCCAGGACGGTCGGGGCCGTTTCTCGGCCTGCTCAGCAGCCCCCTCTCACAGGGCTGTGCCCGGGGTGTCACATCAAGCGTGTCTTTGCTGCTGACCTGCGTTCCCCACATCCCTCTCAGTTCCCTGTTATTTGGTTTGATCTCCAACATATCTGCTATTCTGGACGTTTCCGATTCGGCTTCTCCTCTCTCCTGCACAAGTGCCATTTCTCACTGAAGTCTTGAACTCCTTCTGGGAGACAGGGGACTAAAGCCTCGAGTTGACTGTCCCTCTGCCCCACTCCCTGTCTTCAGTTCTTTCCTTAAATTCTATTCCTTAAAGACTCGATAATTTAGGGTGTAAGTTACATTTAAAAAATTCTGTCTTATTACATTTTTTATCATATGATAGAGCAAGTACCCGTGAACAAGTGCATGGAGGGCGCTCCCTCCCGGGCCCTCTGACGGTCGCTGTGCACGGGTGCGTGGAGGGCGCTCCCTCCCGGGCCCTCTGACGGTCGCTGTGCACGGGTGCGTGGAGGGCGCTCCCTCCCGGGCCCTCTCACGGTCGCTGTGCACGGGGGGGGGGGCCGTTTCTCGGCCTGCTCAGCAGCCCCCTCTCACAGGGCTGTGCCCAGGGTGTCACATCAAGCGTGTCTTTGCTGCTGACCTGCGTTCCCCACATCCCTCTCAGTTCCCTGTTATTTGGTTTGATCTCCAACATATCTGCTATTCTGGACGTTTCCGATTCGGCTTCTCCTCTCTCCTGCACAAGTGCCATTTCTCACTGAAGTCTTGAACTCCTTCTGGGAGACAGGGGACTAAAGCCTCGAGTTGACTGTCCCTCTGCCCCACTCCCTGTCTTCAGTTCTTTCCTTAAATTCTATTCCTTAAAGACTCGATAATTTAGGGTGTAAGTTACATTTAAAAAATTCTGTCTTATTACATTTTTTATCATATGATAGAGCAAGTACCCGTGAACAAGTGCATGGAGGGCGCTCCCTCCCGGGCCCTCTGACGGTCGCTGTGCACGGGTGCGTGGAAGGAGCTCCGTTCACAGGCTGTGCTCACACTCGGCCCTCCAGCCCGCCAGGTTCTGTGCACTCATGCACATTTGGCATCTTTGTGGCTGACTGGGCCAGGGATTTGACCTGCTGTTGCCATGTGGCATCTGGCTGTCTTGAGCAGCGCATTACCCTTGTACCACAGAGCTGCCTTCTTCCTTTTTTTTTTTTTAAGTTCTTTTGCATCTGTGCACGAGCAAGAGAGAGCGGGCGTTAGGTACCCGGTAGGGCCTCCACTCCGAGACACCCTGCCTGGGCCAGCCCTGGCTGTGGGCATGTGCTGAGTGCTCCGGAGGGCTCTGGACCCCACGTGGGAGCTGTCCGTCATGGGCCGCCATCAGCCCTGGATCTCATCTGAACCCCGCTCGCGCTCATGGTTAAGCCTGGGCGTTCCTCCCGACCGGACCTGAATCTGACGGACGTGCTCAGCCTCGCTCTCAGACTGCCGACGTCTGTCCCTAGGAGAGAGGCGACGTCCCTGCACAAGTGACCTGGGAGGAGACGGGGTTGACGCGGCGTTTCCCGTGCTGGCCCTCGCACCCTGCCACCTGTCATCGGCCCTGCGTTCTGAGTGTGGGCTGTAAGTCTGACCTTGGCCGGTGCCGGGTAGAGAAAGCCTCTTAAAGTCCTAATGTGGACGTCCCTTCTGTGTTTCCCAAGGAAGGGCTGCGCTAAGTCCCGACTGTCGTGGCGTTGGGATGGTCTGTGGTTGCTGGTGAGGTCCCAGCTGGTGGGAGGTGGGGGGTCCATCTCCGGGCTGAGGAAGTAGACCATGCTCAGTCCGGCTTCCCCCACGTGGGAGGGCCTTCCCTTAGAGGGGACGTGACCATAAGTCGCCCACCCCTGCCTGCGTGCCGTGCACTCTGTGCCTAGCTGGGCGTGTGGGCCTCACGTGCACGCCTCAGAGGGAACGAGCCCTCGTGGCCGAGTGGAGCTGACCAGGCGGCCTCCTGCAGTTTCGTCTCCAGCAGGCAGTAAGGGGGTGCCCCGAGATGCTGAGGGAACCCACAGGTGCCGCGGCCCCGGCTGAGAGGCCACCCAGTGCAGGCCCCGGCCGAGACTGGCCCGATACGTGGGCCGGGAGGCCTGAACCGCAGGGAGCCCAGTGACGTGATGTTTTCCTTTCTCTCCGTGACATCAGGTTTTTTTCCGAGAATGCCAAGTGCGTGTGGGTCGGAAGCTCAACAGGCCTGTTCATATTTAACCTGGCAAACCTGGAACTGGAGGCCGCTTTGTGTTTCAAAGGTCAGACCGCCCTCCAGGCACTTTTCCATTTGGGTTGCGTCACTCTGGGTGGCCGAGGGCCGTGCAAAGGCGCAGTGGTGCGAGCCTGAGGATGCCGGTGTCCATCCCACGGTGGGGCCCAGGCCTGTCTCCTGCTGCCGGGTGGCTGGCCTGCCCTGCTCTCCCGTCGTCCCTGGACTGGCTCCAGCTGGGGCCCTTCAGCCCCGCGAGGCACCCTGTCGACCTGGTGTCCAGCTGGATGCCCATGGGTCCCGGCCGAGGCCCCTCACTCTCCATCTTGCCACCACTGGGAACGCAGGAGGGGGCCAAGCGCCTTTCCTCTCTCTCCCCACATCTGACCGCTCTAACTGCCAATGCCGCCCAGTGGTGGTCAGCCCCTTCCCCCCTTCTCTGGCTCCGAACACGGACACTGAGGCCAGTGGCCCCCTAGGCCATCGTGCCCCACGAGCTGCCACTCCTGCAGGGGCTCCTCTCTCCGGCCCTGAGAGCTTCTGACCACGCGTCCTCCCACTGGCCCCACCCGTCCTGGAGGTCAAGCCCGGTCACCCAGCCCAGCACGGGGCCGCCGGCTGCACACTGTGTCCGGGTCCCAGGCTCCATGCCTGTAGGAAGGCCGGCAAGTGCAGTGTGGCGTGCCGCGAGGGGAGGACCGATCCCCTCCCCACCCTCAGGGCTGTCTGTTTCTCGGCCTATGATTAGATTTCAGGAGCCTCAGCATTCAGGTCGCCGGGTCCTGTGCAGTGAGCGAGACTGCAGACCACAAGGTCAGTTCTAGGACACGCGCAGATCTGGACGCTGTAGCCCGTGCTGGGGGCCGGCTCTGATCCGCCCCTGCCCGCGCGGCGTGGGAGCGGCAGGCCG